ACTTTCTAGCACTCTTCTGTAGCTAGAAATGATATTTGCGACGATTTTTTGCTTGTGTAATTTTACGTCCTAAAAAAAGTACTTTAAAGTGTATAAATAAGTTACCCGGACAATTGATTTACATCAGCCAATCAAACGAATTTCTGTCTATGAGTATAGAGTATAGGTATAATACCATAATTAAGATAAACAAGCTAATTTTTAGAAGATTCCGAACCATATTAAACTATATAGAAGCAAAATATTGTATTAATAAAAACCCCTAATCGTGTTCATTTACTTCATTTTATTTCTTTGATATCCGACTTGTTCAGTCGGGCTACCAAACCCTTTGCACGATATCCGGACTGTTGGTCTGGGCTATCGAAATCCATATCCATAACTAATCAAAACACCATTCCCTTTCCTCCTCAACACTTTTATCGCCCTCAGCGGTGGGTGGGTGAGTCATTTACGACAAGCGAACTAGCAGCAAAGACAAAAGAGGGAGAACTAATTTCCATTTCTTCTCCCTTAAATAGTCATTTACTATGACCTCATACTTACATAACTCACTCTATCAAAACGATATTCATCATCCAATACTTACTAATCTCTCATTGACATCTCATGATCTCGTGACAAATGGATGCCTCATGACTTCGTCACGGCATCTCATTTTTCGAGACACATCTATAGTAATGACTGTCAATGCAACGAATGTTAGTCGTGAAGAACCTTCACGATTGACTTTAATGTTATAAGAAAATTCTGTATGCAGTAACTGTAAAGTTTCTTCACAGCTATTACGAGAGTTTTCTTCCAATCTCAGATAGTCGCGATTGACTTTAACGCGTACGATATTTCGCACTTATACAGTATCACACAGTATCTTTTAACAAAAGAATATTGTTCATTTTGGTTTGATGCATTCAATTTAATACTTCATAATTTAATTAAATTCATTTATTAAATTTAACATTAATATTTATCAAGCTTTTTTTACCGGTTTAAACATTTGTTTTTCTAATTCGGCGAACAATTCAGGATAATGACGTTTGCCTGCATCAGGATGCGAACTTTAAAAAAAAAAAAAAAAATTAAATGAAATCAGTTTTAATTACGTAGATCAACATTATAAATTTTCCAAGTATTTATTTTTACCTAATGCGATTCAGAAGTTGCGCATTGCCAGCATTTTTATAAAAACGCTCCTTATAAACTACATCAGCTAATGAAATGAAATAATGAAATGCATTAGCTATATATATCTATTTATTTATTATTTATTACCGTTACCATACCATCAGATACAACAGATATTGATGCCTGACGAATTATATCTTCCGGAACATCCAACGGTTCAAGTATTGCATCATAAGATATCGTTTGAAAGAAAGGTATGCTTTCATTAAAAAAAAAAATGCGATTAAAAAAATAAAAATAATGATATTATTATGTATGCAATTAAAAAAAGATATTTAATAAAAAAACCAATTTAGAAAAAATAAAAAGTATGTACCTTAGTCTTGGGATTGAACCAGGAGGTGGATTGAGAACCCTATGAGTTGTGGCCACAGCTACCCCTCTAGTAACAGCCTCAATTCCTAACCCAATATTCACTACAAATGTTCCTTCAAGTGGTGGAACATCTATCCAAACACCTTTGTGGTTTTGAACTTGTAAACCCCATACATCATTAACTTGAAAGAGAAATGTTAGCCAAGCATCTTTATGAGGTCCAACGCCTTGTGCAATATCATCTGGGCCTAAAGCCAATGCATTTAATGGAGGATATTTAACAATCTGAGATATGTATAGTATTTACGTTTCGTCATAATTAATTTATATAAATTCGAAATTTAAGATTACTAGAGTTAAATATTCATTCACCTTTAAACGATTCATCTGTTTATTAGGAGGATCCAGAAACTTATATAAAGAGTCGGAAGGAAGACCTAAACTCAATGCTATTAATTGCATAAATTCTAAAGAAAAATCAGACATCCCTTTAATATATTCCAATAAGGTTTCTTTGAAACCAGGGACGTATTTCTCATCAGGCCATTGATTAGGTCCCCTAAGTCTTCTATATAAAGGTTCTCCTTTTTTCCAAGTGCAAG